AGACTTAGATATCCAATGAATTCAATTCAACTTATCATTTAACTTAGCATACCTCAAAGTATCAGGTTTGATAGCCTTCCACAGGGTCAGATGGCCATGAAACCAAGCAAGACACATTCTACAGTTATTGAAGAGATTGGGATTTGGGGACAATTCCATGAAGTCTTGAATATGTGGGACTTTTGGCCATTTGGAGGAGTTCCAGCAAAAGAGGTCAAGCTGGAAAATAGTATTATATGAAAGGATTCCATGAACGGGTCATACCTTTTGATCTGGGAGTTTTTATTAAGGCCAGGAAATATTACATTAAAAAAGATGAGACATTTTTCTCAGGATTTGGGTGTCAAATTTATTCCAGTTCTTAAGAATATAGCCCAAGGGTGAGTCCAAGGGGTAGAGGGGGGTTTGTCTCACAGTCAAAAAGACTGACTGTTGATTCCCAAAGGGGTGCTCCACCACAGGGAATGGAGCTCCAATTCGTGGTCATGATTTCAGTTAGGGCATCCCAATGACCTGAAAAAGGACTGGACCTTAAATGGGGTAACCGACTCTAATGGGGTGTTCCACCAAGGAGAGGGTTGCAGCAAGTGGCAACAGCAATCCCTGCTGGGGTGTCCCTGTAACAGAGAAAGCTGGACATGTGGTGGCCAGTTAGGGTCAGAAAAAAGGAGAGGGAAGGACTCACCATTCAGATGCACAGGAATATGTTTTGCTATAGATCAAGATGGCAGCTGGATCTGTGGGAACAAAAAAGGGAGGGGGGAATTCCAAAATAAGCAAGTTGGGAATAGAGACCTAAGAAGAGACAGAGTTGGGGGAGAAGAAAGGGGTCCATTGCCCTCACAGGCACCAGCAGTCTGACTTGTTCATCCTCACACCTTTAGACCATACCAGGGAGTTGCCCTGGCCAGAGATCTTCAGTTGTCTGAGGAGTACTAGCGTTAGACGACCAAAGGGCTAAAAAGAGAAAGGAGAGGGAGGGAAGGGTCCTTATGAAGGACAAGAGGGAAAATCCATCACTCTTTTGGGCAAGGACAGTCCAGTGGGCTCCCCGTGGGTCTTCTGATCCTCACTGAGGAGTAACCTCTGCCAGAGGTTGTCAGTTTCCCAAGGGGTACTAGAATTGGTCCACTGAGGAGGGAAAGTCCCGAGAAATTCCTAAGGAATCCAGTAAGAGTCCTGGGCCAGCAGAGGCTCACCAAATATGGGGTGCTACAATTGGGTGGGGCCAGTGGCATGGGCAGTGAAAGCATTCACCCAAGGCAGAACAAAAGAGAAAGAAGTTAACTGAATACACCACAAGGGAGCGCAGGCAGGACAGCAAAGGAGAGACTGTCTGCTGGAAACAGTTTCTAAATAGCTAAGAGTATCAACAGTAAATTGTGGACTATAGGAAAAGAATTGCTTTGGTCTTTTTCAAAGTAAAGATGTGCAATGATGTTTTGTTGCTGTTACTCTGCTAAGGAAACAATATGGCATATATAACACTCCCTTTATTCTTTTTAAACATATTTCAGAAAACATAATAAGACCTGTTTACTACATATGACTTATAATTGGTTTGTCTTGTATTGCTTTGGCAAACAGAGGTTGTCTTCTGTACCAAAACCAACATAATGGAAAGGAAAGCCTCAATGCAGGATAATCTGTGAAGAGCACTGGGACAAAAACACCAAAAGACAAAAATTTAAGAAGATATTCATGTTTATTATCTGATTTACATTTGACAAAGCAAAGGTAGGTGCACAAAGAGCTGTTTGACAAAGTCAAGCCCTAGATATCAAACAATAGAATTTCCCTGGCTGCCCCAGAGGGCACTTCCAACACCACTCCTGGGCAGCTGTGCTCCACAATGCAACCACTCAGCTGTAGACACTGTGGTGTTGCACTTGGGACTGCAGGCCTGTGGGATCTGACATCAAAGGCGTGGGCCATTAAACACTTGAGAGCTCTAGTTCCAGATGTCAAAAGTCAATATTAGTAACCAAGTATCAGAACGGTCAAAAAAAAAAAAATAGCAAACTTTGAATGAATACTGTACAAAATACACCTTTTATAGAGAATAGGCTCTTGTTGTGAGCTGCCTCTTATTTCCTCCCTTTGCCAAAGTCTGTTCATTCATGTCAAATCAAGAACACAGAGTATAAAACTTAAAAAAAAAAAAACCAACAGCTACTTTAACGATGGTCATGAAGTTCTCCCTAAGACCAACTCCTAAGGCTATTACGTAAGATTTGAGATCATCATAATTCAGGGAAACTTTCATTCTGAGCCCACGAAGGTATCCCTCCTATAGAGAATAGGATACTTAGAAATACCTGAGGTATAATCACTGAGAATCTTCCTAAAGGAGAAACAAAAGATTGGAGTTTCTTATATTGGCATAAAAGTACATACACAGTTGATACAGAAAAACTAAAATGTGAACAGTACTCAAGTGTAACAGATAAAGTGAGGAGAAACTTACTACAAGGCTCCAGGTCTTCTTCCTATAATTTGCACACTTTTGTTAGAATAGAGATTCTCAGGCTGTACCAAAAATGATTTTAGATGGAATCTTTAAAAACAGTAAAACCCAATTTCAAAACATTCATTTTTAGAGACAAGCATGCGCCAGTATACAAATCATTATGTTTCTGGTGAAACAGTAACATCAATCTAGTTTTCAAAAACTGAAACTTCAATTAGATGTGCTTATTTGGCTGTGAATATGCCCTCACCCTGCCTCCAAAATGATCATTTTAGCATCAGTTATTAAAAAAGTATACTAATTATACAGAACACTCCAAAATCTAGCTTAGTTTACAGCTATTTATATAGTATACATAAATCTGATAATTTCATAACTTTGTACTACTCTCTGGCTGTACATTTACCCATTTCCCGATGTTTCTTGGAAACTGGCAACAGCAAGATTATTTTCTTAGAGAATAAATAAAAAGCTTTAAGAATTTGCTAAAATAAGCACCCCAGAGTTATTTTATGAAGTAGAACTCAAATACTATTTTTTAGAAGTGAATTGGGATATTCTGGAAATTTAAACATCTTTAAACATGGAATTCTTCTGGTTAATGCCTACCACATTCAGGGACACTTATGTTCACTTATGGGAGACCTGCTAGAATCCTTTCCGAACATGTTAATGTAAGGTCTGCTGATGTCAGCATGACTAACAAAAGGGGAGAGAAGGCGGAAAGGGCACTTTCACTTTTTGTTTTTAAGAAATTTAGAAAAGTTTTATTAAGCTTCTAAAAAGCATGGTACACTCACACATTCTTACCATGCACACATGTGGGTTTTTCTACCCTTTTGAACACATAGCTCTTTATGTAGGAGAGGCACCACAAGAGGAGAAAGTAAGGATCCTCTGCAGGCAGGAGAATAGGTGTATGGATGGGAATCAGAGCAAGACTCTCATCAAGAATGCTTCACAAAACTGCCTTCCGGTTAAGTCAGAAGTAAGGAGCAAAACATTTGCAAATTAACCACCAAAAAGATCACTTAATATGCCTCCCATTTTTAATAACAAAATAATTAGCCTCCACCCTCATCTCTTCTCTATCATGCCTTTCATATAATGGTTTTTTTTTTCCTGAACTGTACTGCCTAGAGAAAGCCATGTCATGATGAGGAATAGGCCTTGATTAGCGACAGTTTGTAAAACAGATCTGTTTCTTCCCAATTCACAGCCTTGTGTCACACTGATGAATGCTGAAACCGAATTCCCGAGTTTCACGTTGCCATTTCATAGAATCTGTACCCAAAAAAAAAAAAAAAAAAAAGATTCCCAGAAAAAAAGCAAAAACTTTGACTTCCCCATTAAAAAGTTCATTCTCTAATTCTACAGATACCAAGAAAAAGACGATGTATTTTAATTTTACAATTAAAAAAAACCACAATCTCAAAGCAAGCACCTGGGTTTTACTTCAGCTTATAATAATTTAATATGCCTGAGAAATTTTGTGCAAATACATGTCATCTTTAATGAAAAATATGCATAGCACTTTGGAAAAAGTTTAGTTGCAACTAACTTTACTTACAAAAAAACGTACAGACATAAATACACAACATTCCCTAATTCCTATTGATTGCACTTCCGGTTTAACCCCTTCCAGTCTCCAAGGAAATTTGAAAGCCATGTAATTATGTTCATATTTCTTGGCCACTGTACTTATCTAAATAAAATATTTTGAAAACAAGTTTCCTTGGTTCCAACTTACCCATATTTTCCTTCTTAAAGGACATCATTATCCCCCAATTCATGTTGTTTTTTGGGAGGTGTTGTATAAAAATACAAATTTAAAAATGAATTTTTATTAATCACAAATACAAAAGGAATTCGGGTCATTTGGGCTCCCAGTGGCTCAAAGGCTTGAAAACGGAAAGCAAAAAGAGAGTCTCCACTATTCTGATTTTATGAAAAAGATAAAACTCCTTGCTTGCTAACGCTGTGTACATACCATTTGATGGATATATAATTTATCCAGACATTAACAGGGTAAAACATAAAAGCATCTTCCTTGTCTCAGTAACAGACAGGGCTTACCTCAGCAACCCTGCAGTACAGCTTCTTATAGGCAATGGTCAAGGCTTCTCCCTTTTTCTTCCCATCTCCTAACCTGGGTTCTTCCTGCTTTTGTTTACTAGGAATAAATGTTCTAGCAAGTTTAGTATCTCTGGCATATTTCGGTATTACTGAATTTATTGTCTAGTCACTTTTTATTTTCAAGATAGGAACATTCAACTGAAGGAGTATATTAAACCTTTCTTCCTTTTCTGCCTCCAAACACTCATGACTCATTCATCTATACTTGCAATTTATTTGACCTCATTCATTAGGGGCTCATCTCAATTTTGTTTCCATTCTTCCACTTCCCCTTTCCACATTCACAATCCATCTGCAACATTCCTTATCTCTCAGTCAGACCAGACTACATGTATCAGTGCAAATCTATCCTTCATGTGCTAATTTGTTTAAGAGATCAGTTAATTGCTGAACTTCAGTCTTCCTTCAGGACATCCATTTTTGGCGAGGATGTGCATACAGGCGTGCCAAAGCTACCCATCATGACTGGAAGACTCTGATTCCTCCTCAGTCCACTCAATAAATTGCTACCTGAATTTAAATAAATAGCAGAGTCTGGTCTTTGAAGACCAATTTCTGCCTCTCGGCTTCTTCCATTTTCCTGTGCATTAGGGGTTTTGATTACTCTGGCTATCCCCAGTCTCTTCAGCCTGTCCACTAAGTTCATCTTCAACTGGCCAACATCAGGAGGGTTCCGGGAAGGTCTCAAACCATACATCTCCTGGAGGAATGTTTCAGCTGGTCGGGAGGCCAAAAAATTTTCAGAGAGATGCACTCGAGGCTCAAAGGGTAAAGGAGAAGGGCAGGGTGAGTGAGATGGTGAATTTGGTGGTGTGGAAGGAATAGCCAGGGATTTGGGGACAGGCTGGAAGACGGCGTTCTCTGAAATTGGGCTGTGATACACTTTAGCAGAAATGCCTCGTTCCTGTAGAAGTTTGGCCAAGCTCATGGTGCTGCTGAATGTTATAGTAGAATCTCGTCTGTTGGTAATAGATTCACCAATGCTGAGTCTATAGGACATAGCAGGAGAATTCACCGCTGTGTTTGATGAACTGCTACCAGTACTTCCACAGGATAATGAAGGGAACCCAGAACTTTGAAAAGAAAAAAAAAAGAAAGAAAGAAAGAAAGAAAGAAAGAAAGAAAGAAAGAAAGAAAGAAAGAAAGAAAGAAAGAAAAGAGAGGTTTAAAAATAAAAGTAATTTCTAAACAGCATTTAAAGTAATCACATTAGTTATCCACAGTAAATATAGAGGCACAGGCAACGTATCAATAACTAAACTCTGTGGAAAGATCTGAAGAGTAAGACTTTTGATGTTACTTCAATGACTGGTTAATTATTTGTAATTTGTAACAATGAAACATACTTCTTTTCATAGGTTATGAAAAAGTTTACTGTACACTAACTTTATTCTTAAATTTTAATTCAAAATATAAATTTTTGGGAATATGACTAAATTTTATGATAGAAATAAAAGAAATTAGGGGCACCTGGGTGGCTCAGTCAGTTAAGTGTCTGACTTGACTCAGGTCATGATCTCACAGTTCGTGGGTCTGAGCCCTGCGTCAGGCTCTGTGCTGACAGCTCAGAGCCTGGAGCCTGCTTCGGATTCTGTGTCACCCTCTCTCTCTGCTCCTCCCCTACTCACTCTCTCTCTCTCTCTCTCTCTCTAAAATAA